CTATGAGTCGGTTCCGACTCGATGGCACCTGACGACAACAACAACATGGTCAATGGCAGATCAGACCATTGTGATCAATAGAGTTCTCATTGGCTAGTTTTCCAAAGTAGATCACCAAGCCTTTCTTCCTAATCTCTCCTAGTCTAAAAGCTCCACTGAAGTCTGTTTAGCATCATAACAACACGCAAGCCTTAACTGAGAAATGGGTGATAGATGTGCATAAAGCACCTTTTCCAAGAATCCAACTTGGGTCTCCTATATGAAGAATTTTATCACAGACCCAAAAAAATACATAATAGGGTTGCATCAACCAACATTTGCATGACCTGCTAAGTCTGGGGAAGCTATTATTTTGTCCCTGCCTGAATACTGTTCCAGAAACATCTCTCTCCCAGGTTCAGGGATCATTCCTCTTGCTCCATTTTAACTTGCACATCACTGTCAGAGAACCACACTCTAAAACTATGTAAATTACTTTCTGAGAGGAATCTCTGAGTTGAAAAAGAACATTAAAGGACAAGTCTTTTCTTCAGCATTCTAATACTTTTAAGGAACAAAAACCTGGAAACTACAAAGGGTTTCATGATTATACGTTGTTTATTTCAAGTGACAACTCTTTGTGAGTCCAGCATGCAAATTAATAGGCTCAAAACAAATATATACTGCCTTCAAAAAAGATACTTAGTGATATTTACCACCACTCGTCTGTCCCTTTGCTGTATTGTGGTGGCTTGTGTGTTGTTATGATACTGAAAACTATGCCACGGGTATTTTAAATACCAGCAGGGTTATCATGATGGAAAAGATTCAGCAGTTTCCAGATGAGGAAAAAGGAGGGACAAACCAATACTAACTGGTCAGAAGAGGCCTGCCCTTGGAGATGGACATCATGCTTGGTAAAGTGAAGGATCAACAAAAAAGAGGAAGACCTCCAACAAGATGGATTGACACAGTGACAGTAGCAGTGGGCTCAAACACAACAACAATTGTGAGGTGGCACTAGACTGAACAGTGTTTCCTTCTGTTGAGCACTGACTTCCTCTAAGTTGGAATCGACTCAATGGCACCTAACAACAACAGTAATATTTATCTATTAACCATACAAAATAAGCATTGAAGATTTAAATTTCAACTTGTGAAATTGAAAAGTGTCTATGTTTTAAATTTTCTCTCTTCTTTGAGTTGGACTTGGAAATGTATTTCCAGACTCAATGTCCAGTTGCTGTCCCCAGCTTATAGCTTCAGAAGCTTTACAATATCTGCTCCTTCTACTACTTTCACAATCATCATTTACTTTTGGTTTTTTTTTTTTTCCTAGTTGCCTAAAATATTTGTTGAAGAAAAGAGGGTATAAGCACTAAATAACTTAAAATATACAAATTAAAACTACTTTAGATAAAGCCTCTAGATATTTTTGAAGACACTGGACACTTCGGGGACTCTAAGAAGTACCATTGGTTTATCTTCTGTATAACTTCTGTTCCCTGGACTGGTACTGTCACATCCATTGGTACCTATGCAAGTGGCTAGGTATACAGTCTCTATGAGTATAGGATGCTACTGGTTGGTGTCCTTGGCTGTTAACTGAACAGTTGGAGGTTTGAGTCCACACAGAGACATCTTGAAGAAAGGTTTAGTGATCTACTTAAAAAAAAAAAAAAGTCTGCCATTAAAAATCTGTGGAGCACAGTTGTACTTTTACATACATGGCGTCATCATGAGTTGGGGGACTGACTATAAATAGTGGCGTTGGCATCTGTGGTTAGGGTCTTCTATCTCATAATTACATGGAAACAGTTTATAAAACCTCAGGAACCTGAGGCACCATGATAATTGTTACCTGAACTGTGGCTTCCTGCTAGTAAGGTGGGGCTCACAGAAGACCTTCCCAGTCTACTGGTCACCACTGGTGGCCCTGGTGTTCCGTCCCATTCCTGAGCTTTGCCAGGCTCTCTGGAGGAAGATGTCCCATGATGCCCTCTGTCTTTGCTGTCCAACTTTGGTATGGGCTCCGTACTGTGGCTTCGAACTTTAAGCTCATCTGTTGACTCTGTGGATGTACCAGAAAAATATTCCATTAAGAAAATATCAGATCCTCCCCAAATTCCCCATTAAAATTAGAGCGTGTTTTTCTAAAACACTTTCAATATATTTTCATAAATAGACTTGTTTTGGAGATGACAAAATTTAAATATAAAAAGGGATAGGACATTATGTTGAGTGAAATTAGTCAGTCACAAAAAGAGAAATACTGCATAGGACCACTACTGTAAAGGACTAAGAAAAAGAACCCATACTAAAGGGGGGGGCGGAATTCTTTGTTGATT